CTAATTATTAGTGATATTGAACATCTTTTAAGATGTTTCATAGCCATCTTTACTTCTTCTTTTGAGAAATCTCTGTTCAGCTCTTTAGCCCATCTTTTATTTGGGTTACTTCTTGTCTTGATTCTCTGTTTTTTTGAGTTCCTTATATATTCTGCTTATTAAATCTCTGTAGGATGTGTCACTGGTAAAGAGTTTCTCCCATTCTGTGGGTTTTCTCTTCGCTTCTCTGGTTGCCTCCTTTGATGTACAGAAGTTTTTTAATTTAATGAGGTCCCCTTCGTTAATTCTTGCCCATGTTTCCTGAGCAATTGATGTCCGGTTTAGAAAATCCTTTCCTACACCTATATCTTATAGGTTTTCCCCAATGTTTATTTTACCCAATGTTTCAGAGTGTTAGGCTTTACAAGAGTTTCAGGCTTTAAATTGAGGTCTTTGAGCCATTTGGAATTGACTTTTATGTAGGATGAAAGATAGAGGTTTAGTTTCATTCTTCTACAAGTGGAGATCCAGTTTTGCCAGCACCATTTGCTGAACATGCTGTCTTTCCTCCAGTGAATATTCTTGGCCCCTTTGTCAAATATCAGGTGGCTGAAATTGCATTTACTCATATTTGGATCTTCAATTTTGTTCCATTGGTCTATGGGTCTACTTTTGTACCAGTACCATGTTGTTTTTATGACTATAGCTCTGTAATACAACTTGAAATCTGGTATAGTAATCCCCCTGGCATTGCTCTCAATTTCTTTCTTTAAAGATTTAAAATTTTCATTGTAGAGCTCTCTCATGTCTTTGGTCAGGTTTATTCCGAGATATTTTATTTTTATTTTTTGCAGCTATTGTGAATGGGAGTGTTTCCATGTGTTCTTTCTCTGATTGCTTGTTATTGGTATGTAGAAAGGCTGCAGACTTTTGTAGGTTAATTTTGTAACCTGCCTCTTTACGGAATGTGTTAATAATTTCTAGGAGTTTTCGGGTAGAATTTTTGGCATCCCTTAGATATAATATCATATCTTCTGTAAAAGGGGATAATTTGATCTCTTCTTTTGAACATAAATGCATATTGAATTTTGTCAAAGGCCTTCTCTGCATCTATGGAGATGACAATGTGATTCTTGTCTTTGAGACCATTTATATGATTTATGACGTTTATTGACATACGAATATTGAACAATCCCTGCATCTCTGGGATAAAGCCTACTTGATCATGGTGGATGATCTTTTAGATATGTGTCTGTATGTGGTTTGCAAGCATTTTGTTGAGATTTTTTGCATCTATGTTCATTAAGGATATTGGGCTATAGTTACCTTTTTTGG